ACACACACACACACACACACACATAACAGAAATAATATAATAATTTAGCGTGCTATTGTTTATATAAATTATTTATTGTGTATAAAAATTATTTTAAATTTTTTGTTTCATATATAAGTGTATTATATATTTTTTTTAGAGTCTATAGAGTTCGCAATATTCAGAAATCTAAACTGTCGCGCGTGTCTCTCCTCCTTTAGTTTTCAAGAAATAAAAATACTAACGAAGAAGAAATTCGTTAGCGATATCAGAAGGATGCGCGGATTCTGCGTGATGCATCAAACCCACGTTGGCAAGGGGCGGCTCAGCGGGGTTACGATGAGACGAAGGAGGAGATGCCGGACCGAAATCTGGCCTCAGTCGTGCGCGACGCGCCATATGGAATGGACCATTTGTCAGCCCGCTCACAAAGGCCAATAATCTCCCGTGACACGTGTGCCTCTCCCCGATAAAAAGCGGTAACGTGTCGCGTTGCCGCTTGCTTCGTGGAAAAAGTTTTCCATCGCGCACTTTCCACAGAGAGAACTTGAACGTCGGCCAATACACACACACACACACATAGCACGGGGGACATTGACAATCAACCGTTCGAGAGACTCTCACATTCCTGTGAAGTATTAAATCGTATTGATCGTGCATGTTGCTCTTAATTACTTACTAGCTTTCGAGGTTTATATTTTACGAGATAAATGAAAAGTTGGTGATTTTTAAACTCGATCGCGTGTGCTTTTACGAATCTGATAAACACGTGAATGTTTGCAAAAGAACGTCATAAAAAAGAAATTTGAAAAGAAACTTAACACAAAAGTAAGTACTCGCATATGCATCTGTGAAGAAATCTGCGTATGTTAATTTAATAACGTGTGTACATATTTCACATACGATAACTCGGTCGTTTTATTTACGCGACGACGATTAGTTGTGATGATCGCCACGTACGTACGGTCGTACTACTAAAACGCTCGCCGTAAATGTGCTTTCACTACTTTTGTGATAAAAATCAGTGATAAATCGCGAATCGTTTAACATATATATAACATTTTATTACACTATGTGTAATCTCAAATGGCAATTAAAGAGTTTTAATCCTCGTCGGTTGTGGAGAATTAGACTATTTAATCGGCTCCGGAGATTCACCGGACACGGTCTGTAATTAAAACTTGATGGAATTACCAAGAGCCATTTTGGAATAATGCAAATCTTTTGGGAAAATAAGTTCTCGCTTAGCCCCCGAGGGCTTACCTATTTAATTATCGAACGTGTTATAAGAAATTAAAGAGCGTCGACGGATTATCGCGCGCGACGCGTAATTAAAACGCGCGCGCGCGCGCGCGCACGCACGCACGTACGGTTGCTGAAGAGAAAAGTGCGGAAAGCAAACAGAGAGATGCGCTAAGACGGTCTCTAATTTAAAGACGCGTCGAAAGAAAACGTCGAGTTGTAAAATATAGCGAGATTTTGATAATTACACGGGGGATGAAAGCTGATTACACGCTTTGGGGGAGACCTTAGAGGCGGCCTTACATTTATTAGGAGCGGACAAAGCGGCGAGATAAGAGCTCGCGCACGTCGCTGAATCATGACGACCTGATGAGACACGGCCGCGTAAATGTGCTTTCGGTGTAGCCGTGAGAGCACTTAACAATTGCTTAAAATAACCAGAACCCGTAGCGTGTGCCGCCGTACTCCGCTGTACGAAATGACTCCGGTGCGCGTGCCACTAAATTCGTACCAAATCGAGAATCGAGTGTCGGTAAAAGGCATATATTATAAATATATTATAAATAATATATTATAAATAATATATTATAAGTAATATATTATAATATATATTTTAAATAATATATTATAAATAATATATTA